AGATAACGATAGTCCTACTTGGGTCACCGAAGCCTCGCCACTCCAAGCCTTCAAGTAACTTTGCTGGCAGGTTGCCAGCTTCCGACGAGAGAATGATGGGTGCACCTTGCATCGTCATAGACTGGCGCATATAGGGAGCGAAGCCATCGTCTGATGACTTTAGGTCGAGCTGGGGTAGCCCAGCTGGGTGTCCCTCTGGAACGCCCAAGCTGCCCTCGAGGTGTAATAATGGTGGGTGTGCTATGCTTCCAGAGTGCATAGAAGATACTTCACTCTCGCTATTGTCTTCCTTCACGGAGTAAATGAGGGCAAACGGTACGTCCAAGTCGTTGAACTCCAATCCATCCTTGACCCGCGGCCAGAAGCTTCTGACGTCCTTAGCAGCAGCTGTCTTCTCGCCCACCTCTCGCAAAGTCAACATCCGGCGTTCGTTGACCTTGCGGCGGGTATTTTCGAAAGCCGGGTTGTAGAGTCCGACCACCTGGCCATCAGAACCCAGTAATGGGATGATTGACCATGAAAAAAACGTCTCCTCGAGGAATCCGTGTCGAAGGATGAATAGCTGGTTGTCGTTCTTCATGATTGACTGCCCATTTGTCCAAGCATTATTGAACAAAGGCTCGATATCCGACCAGATCTCTTTCCATGCGTCCTGATACCGCATGCCCATGAGTTGAGGGTGCTTTTGTCCGGCAAGCTCAATGTAGGCCTCATTGTAGATGGCGACATTGTCCCGTCCCCAGTACATGGCCGCAGGGTGGGGACTACCCATAACCATGTTGGCCATGGCCCTCAATTCTGAACTCCAGTGCTCCAACGGACCCAATGATGTGGAGGCCCAATCGGTGTTGCGACAGAATAGGATATGTTCACTCAAATCCGGGGTTGTTTGAATGCGGGTCCAGTCAAACGATGGCCTCATCATCGCTGCTTGGAAGACCTGTTGGGTGAACTCGTCAGTGTGGTACTTCTCACCACTGTCTATCATCACACAATCGTCAACGACAATTGGTGTATCATCCAGCTCATGCGGCTCCCCTTCCACATCACCAAAGTAATCGGGTTCGTCATCCATGGGTACAATTGATGGCTGATTTGGTGTCGGCCCTCTACTCCGCTGTTCCAGCACCGCTGATTCATTGGCTAACGGAGGCGAGTCTGCTGGTGCTGATACGGCGCTAGCGTTGCCGCTCACGAAGCGAAATCGTTTGCGCAAGGTTGAGCATGTCCATGTGATGCCACCATAGCTGTGAGAAGGAAGGCAGACGTCAAGGGATTCATGGTTCAAGACGAAGCTCGTGGCCCACGTTTTGAAGTTGATATAGTCGGGGTTCTTCATGACATCGTCACCCTCCACAGAAAGCAATTCCAAGACACCCACGGAAGCCCTGAGCGCCGCATTGGCGTATAGCAAATGCAGTCCCGTTTTTTGCGCGTTGACGGGATTTGCGAGATCGATGATGAAGGTTGGACGCTCATCCTGTTCCAAAAGTTCGATCACGCCAACTACTCTCAAAATTTGCAGTCCTTGAGGAAGATGCTGGCTATTTGGGCTCTTTGAAGAGGTTAGGGTGGCGTCTGCAGAAGATAGACTACTGCTCCCCGGCGTACTCCCAGATCTTGCTGATGTTTGTGCATGAACGGTTCCGCGGGGTAGGCGAACAGTGTGAACGCGGTCTTGGTCCTCCCTCAGACGAGCTAGCAGGACGGCTGCAGCGTCGGAGGGAGGGAGAGCAGCTGGTCGAGGCGGCATCTGTCGTTTGTTGTTTGAGGAGAAGAACAGAGGGGAGACGACCCCTTGGTTGTGCCTAGCCAGAATGACTGACGCAGTTGGTTGTTTTGGCAGCTTAATGTGCCCTGGTGGCCCCAGTCGAGTTCGCGCCTTCTTCAGAGGTGACGGGTTTGGTCGTTCGTGTGCGTTTTCGTCGTCGGACAGGCGCTTCCCGTTGGACGTTGAAGGTCTCGACAGATGGGTAGATTCTGTAAACGACCTGATAGTCGGAGAGGTCGGGTCCGACCTGGGGGTCAGGAGCGTCTTAGACGCGGCGTCGAATGAGGGATCGCAAGTAGTGTCGCTATACGTCAAACCATACCGACTAATGTCGGGAGTTGTCCATGACCCTCCGGGGCTCAATGTCGTCGAGGTGGGCGAGGCGGGATGGTAACGTGGGTTACTTGACTGCGGCTGTGAACCCGATCGCTTGTGGTTGACGTTCGTGTTGGAAGAAGAAGAAGATACGGCGGCTGTAGAAGCCTCGGGTTTCGCGGCGGCGGTGGTGGAAACGGTAGCGAACGGGTCCGCCGTCGTCGGTCTGGCCGTCGTCGTCCTCGTCGTCGGGTTCGTTGCCGTGGTCGGAGTTGTGGTGATGTTTCCGGGGGCGTGGTAGGGTCGGTGTGTCGAGGGCAAAGGGGGAGCGAGGAGTCGTATTGTGGATTGGGGGAAGCGATCGTCACCCTGCGGCATGAATGCGCGGGGGGAGGGAGTGAAGATGAGGTGCGGCCGAGAGAGTCGGTCCGTTCTAGAAATTTTCGTCTCGGGCCTCCTTCTCTATGGATGTCTTCCCCTGCCGAAACTAAAATGATTCCTTTTTAGCGACGGCGGAGACGGGAGTGAAGCAAGTGCAGAAGGAAAGGCGCACGGCAAGCACAGACACAGTGGACGATGACACGGGGGGAAGCGGGAGCAGCAGTTTGCAGGACACGGGTGAGCGAGCGAGTGAGGGTAACCTAAGCCCAGGTGCCGCGGGAAGGGAAAGGCTTAGGCGGGCAACGCTACCTTAGTCAGGTAAGGTAGGTAGGTATCCGTAGGTAAGTGAAATTCGGGTATTCCCATATAAGAGAGGAGGAGGGGGGCAGTGAGCTAGCGGTAAGAAAAAGAGAAGAAAAGAAAACACCGACAGGGAGATGCCAGGCCAGACGGGCGCTGTGTGCTTTGCTACCCTAGCTGACCTTGCAACCGGGGTACAGGTGGTTGGCGAGCGAGTCGGGTATTGGGGGATCGAGATAGAGCGAGGGTTTGACGGGCCCGGGCCATGAACAGGAAGGGGAAAGGCCTGCAGCAAAAAGAGTCTGGAAGGGACGGACGCCTGGGTTGGGATTCAGGGAAGGGGAGTGACTGGGAACATGCGGGCTTGATCGGGGCGCGCCTGAATAGGGTAGGCAAGGTGAGTTAGGGTAAGGTGGGATTGAGCCTTGAGCCTGGAGGTGCAAGTACGACGGATACAGCCAGCGACTGGGGTGATGGGTGATGGGGATTTTGGGGGTTGGAGACGAAGGTTCCATAGGTAAGGTAGGGACTGACTGTACGGAGTCCTGTCAACTGGATAGGTAGGCAAGGTTTGGCCCGACGCGGTCGATACAAGATAAAAGCAAAGTAGGCAGATGGCAGCAGGGCTATACGAATAAAGGAGACAATAATGACTTGTCGGACTTGGACGGCGACAATGGGACTGCCACTATCGCAGCCACAGAGACGAGACGGCCGGAGTAGGTAGTAGCCCAAAGTTGTGGGATGGTCAACCGGAAAACACTCCGAAAGCGTGTCATCGTCAATCTGGCAGTCCGAACTTTGGGAGGGTGCCACCACTACGGCAGCCGCCGTTGAGTGTCATAAGGCATAAGGGACGGCAGAAGCAAACGATCAAGTGCCGTGACTAGAAGGGAGTAGAAGGAAAGAGATGAATTACCAGGATGAGGTCGAATGCGATCCAGGGTGTACCTGCAATCTACACCACACACGAGGTGCGGTGTGTGAGATGATGGCACGGGCGAATGTGATGGTTCTGAAGCTACTGGAACTTAAGCACAGCGAAGGGGACCTGGTGCTGCTGCTGCTGCTGCTGCTGCTGCTGCTGCAAGGCGTGGCTACGAAGGTAAACGTGCTTCGTGCAGTTCTGGTCAGATTGCGGCAAGCCGCGAGACGAGAAAGCAAGGTCAAGCCCGTAGAGGTCGGAGCGGTAAAGGTAGGCAGGCGGCCCGTTGAAGACGACTTGAGGTGTGAGTGAGGCGTAAGGCGAGCGAGCGGCTGACGATGCGATGGCTCCGAGGTGTGCTCTGCTGGTCTGGTCTGGTGGCCTGCTGCTAGGTGCTGACTGGACTGCTCTGCGATGCTGCGTTAAGGTGATTGATTGTGTTTCCGATGGTTGGAGCGGTGGATAGGTAAGAAGATGTACGTGGAGATCGAGGACGTAGGATGGAATCGAGAGATGGTACAGAAAGGCGGAATGGGAATCTCGATGTCGAAAGAGGAGTCAGTGCGAGGGCACGCCGTGTATTGGTTAATGTTTGGGGAACCGTCTGTCCTTCTTCTCTCGTGCTTTGGTCCGGTTTAGGACCTTTGGGACTTGGGCCGGATTGGAATGGTCCCGCGAAAAAAAAGCTGAGATATGGCGCCGGGGGGTGGACTACTAGTAACTATTACTGTAGGTGGGCGGGCATGATTATGCGAATGGATCTAACGTGTGAGGTGGGAGAGTCTAGAAGTCCAACAAACTGCAGAAGACCTTGCAGAAGGACGAATGTATGTACGTCGGCTCCTTTCTTGGCAGCTGGCAGTGACAGAAATGGGGATGATGTGCAACTGGGGGTCTGGTCTGGTCAGGCTGTGAGTATCCGTCAGGTAACAAACTAAGGTAATTCGAAGGCCGAGGCGGTATGGCAGATTGGGGGCTCGGGGTCTGTGGAAGGGACCAGAAAAAGAAAAGAGAGAAAAAAAGACGTGGGAGTTTGGGACGGAAGCGAATTGGACAAGAATTGGAAATGCATGACGAGAGGTGACCATGAAGTGGAATTATCAAACAAATGGGAACTGTACCCTTGATACCTGCTGCATACTTCGAGCCTTCCTTCCAACGGGGCTATCCCGCTGCGGAACTCCTTCCTTCCCGTTCATTCTTGCCAACTCGAGGTCGTCCTCTCCCGTCCTTCCTTCCCTTTGCTATCTCTCTTGATGTAGGCACGGTAGGTAGGTACGATCGGCATCGCGTATTTCCGTACCTTAGCTACATTACTACCACAAGCCACCAGAATTGATGTATCCGATAATGCCATTTGCTTCGTCTCACTACTTTACCTTTCCACTCACTTCCTTCCATCGCTCTTGACACTGGCAAATACATATATGCACACACACGCATACTCCATGTCCATCTATGCATCTCATCTTGTCTTCTTTCCTGAGTAAGTGAGTAAGGTAGCCCAGTCGTCAACAGCACTGACGGAAGCATCAGTTGACGTGAAGAATGAAGGCTCCTCGATCCCAATGGACTAGCGGGCCACCCAGCGATGACAAGACACAAGCTGTGTGCCGGTGTATATACAAGCTCGCCCGTTGCGCTCACACAGGCAGCCCTCTCTCTGCACATGTGAGGAACAACCTAAAATGGGTGTGAGGAATCAAAAAGAAAGGGCGGATGGGATGAAGGCTCTGGCGGAGACTAGGACTGGGGGCGGAGCTGTCGGCTGGTATCCGCACTCCATAGGTAGCCCGTGGACCGCACTGCAGGCACGCCGCACAGCTGGGGCCTGGGGGTGGTGGTGGTGGTGGCATTGTGGATGGACGGCAGCGTGGTATTTTGGACTCGGTCTAGAATCTCTGGACTTCTTGGGTTCTGCGCCTTGGCCAAGACATTGCTCCCACTCCAACCTTGGCTTTGCTACTTCCAGACATGGACACTCCCAGTTCCACACCAGGCATCAGACGACCTAGCCAACTTCATCTGCTTTACCTCATGCCAATCGCCAACCCAGCCGTAACTCGGTGACCTTTTCTTACTATTGGAACTTCACAACTAGGTATCACCGGCAGTGTCCGATTTTCTTCCAAGACAGGTACAAGTCAAATCGTGAGTAATCTGCTGTCTTCGTATCTCCACGGCCCTAATAAAGCCTACGCAGTTAGGTAAGGTTTCGTTGTCCACCAAAAGGCCCAAGCTTGGCCCACCTCAGTTGGTCATTCCGCGTATGGAGAATTGGAGATTTACAACACCTTTACAGATACACAAGATGTTAAAATCTTGTGCAGATCTCCAATGGCTCGGCATACACAGTAAACATGTTGCCAATGCAACTTGGAGACAAGTTGCGCCGGCCAAATGATCTTCTTCATCTCTCCACAAGGCCGGGCAACGGCTCGCGTATCTCGCTCTTTTCACCCACTCCACCTCATAGGAATGCATCCTAGCAGACAGGCGCAGCTTCTTTTGAGTCATCTGGAAACGAAACAGGAAGCGATGACAAGAAAGAAACCAACACGGCGCACATTTCAAGAGCAAACAGACCCAAAGATCCGTCCGCTTCTGTCCTCGCGGCTTCTCGCTTCGCCCCGTGGTTCTGCGGGCTGCCTGCATATCCCGCGCAACTGCCATGCTATGCCGTTATTCCCTGTCATTACCCGTCCATTACTGGATGACGAGAAAGAATGAAAGCTGAAGACGGCGACTAGCGCTTGTATCAAGATAGCTTCTCAAGCGGCAAGCCAGGTACCCGCCGAACTTTCCGTGACGCCCGGCACTTGGCAGAGGGCATACGTCAGTCCGAGTCAATCTGGTGCATGCCCAAGATAAACCGTGTGTGTGCTCAAGGTAGGATGTCTCTCGCATTCAATCAAAGAAGAGGGTTTTGAACATTCCACAAGCCTAGCCGAAAGGTTGCGCCGTCGTCAGCAACGGCGTAGATGCAGCAAAGCGAACCCGACGGATGGCTTCGAAATGTCTGGATGGGAAAGAGCCAACAACGAGCCAAGCATTGGGATTGGATCAATGGATCAATGGATCCGAGAGGGAGCTCCACTCCACACGTCGGAGGGCAGGGCAGGGTTCCGCTTAGTACTTGGGTACCTGACCATGTAATGGATCCGTACCAGAAGGGAAAGAGCCCTGGACATCCGCTCTCCCCTGTCGGTCTCGAACTGGCGCGGTCCAGACCGTGGTCGCCCCCACTCCGAGCTCGCCGATCGATGATCGTCACCTGCCATTCTCATTGGCCCCAATCCGGAAGGAAGCTCCTGTCAGTTCTGTCAGTCTCTTGTCAGGAAGCAGTCACAGCTCACTCACGAGTGTCAACTTCCACGTCGTTGGCTTGCAGACGTAGATGCAGAAGCAGGCTCCTCCACTCGTTAAGTCTTCATTTCCTTTTTGAATGCTGCGGCTCCGTGACCCCCAGCCTGACCGCCGCAACATCCCAAAAGTGTGAATCTCACATTTTGACATGTCAACATCCAACTACGGATGCCTACCTTCGAATAGGTACCAACCTATTGCCCTCTCCAACGCCAGCCCGCAGATCAACGTTTAGCAGCTTTGCGACATGGATCTTTCAATCTGTCTCAGTTGCTGTTCGCATCCGGGCGCTACTTTCGAATGTTGATATCCCTACCCCAGAGACGAGGCACCACCTGGCAAAAGAACAAGCAAAAGAACACAGCCTGGAATACTGTATCAATCTATGCGCCAACTGCCTTCGACCAAGACACCTTCCTCGTCCTCAAGCGATTCGGGAGAAAAAGGACGAGATAGTAGCGCCTCTATCCGTATTCTCCTCATGCAGATACCTCGCGCCTAGTGCATCTCCTGCGTCCATAGCAGTGACGCCGCTGTTACCCCAAAGCAGTCATCATACGATGACGCCGGCCTACTGTTGTCTGTTCCGGGCTCCGTGCGGAAGACTAGGCTGGCTGGGCTATACATTTAGCAACTGTCCCGGCACTTGGCTTCGCATTCCGTCATCGCGAAATACTTTCTCGAACCAGACAAGCAGAGATGTGGCTTACATACTCGCGACTGAACCACTGAACCCATAGTGTTGATCGCCTTGCAGGGTGGTTCAAGGGCTTTGCTATCTCCTTGGCGCCAAGAAGATCAAAAACCGTGAGGCCGTGGACCGTGATACTGTCGCACATTGTTCCCCGTACGAGGCAACGTTGGATTTCAGACTCTCCAAGTCTCACCTCGGATCCGGGCACCGCCCCGAGTCGCGACTGTCGGTGAAGGGATACAAGACTACATTCCCAGCCAGGGAGAATGCACTATGCTTTCGAACCTGCGCGGGACCCCTTCCCGTTCAATAGCTCTCGCGACCTTGTCTCGGTCAAGATGTATGGTGACAGAGGGTGTCTTTCCTCCATCCATCTCATACGCCTTATTCCCGACCTGTATCCCTGCCCCGTAAAATGTTACTGCTCTCGGTCGGCCCTCCCATTGGATGTTCCGCCAGGAAGGAATGCTTATAAACCCCCCGGACGATTTATCCCGTTATACGGTCCGCGATACTCGCTCAATGACCAACCAATCGCTCACATCCCTAAGTCACTCGCAAAACTACTAGACAGCGAGGTTCATGTCTAGTCTTTGGATTTGCGTTGTTCAAAAATAGTCGAACATCGGACTTATCGTTGTCTCCTGATCCTCAACAACGCATGCCACGAATCCAGCGGAACTTTGTGCAACCTCAGCAGGCCAGTCATTTTCGACACCGTATTTGATAGTCGCGGGTTGCAAATACCTGATCATTTGTATCATCGAACGGTTTGGTTCCGTTGGTCATGACGCAAGGAGAAATGGTCTCCCGGTCTCAATTACCTTTCAATGCCAGTCGGAGTTGCGGGGATCACAATCCCGATGTGAAATATGCAGCATTCCTCGCATCAAGAGAAGGAGATGTGCTCTGGTCCATCGCGAGGAACATTGTCTCGTTTCCAACCTCCCTCTGTACGCATGGGACTCTCATTTCCGATCCAGCGACAAGGCGCCATCGGCTCCGGCCGAATTAGTTTCACGGATAATCCGATCATCTACCTATCAGTGACGCAGCTATCCGTTAGTAGACACAATACTTGTCTTTCAGCGGTCCGACTTTGTTGCCAGGCAGCCAGATATACGGATCGCCGCAGTTCACGTTGCAAAGACCTGGCATTTGTGGCTGTTGGCGAGCGTAGTTGAGCGGGTCGCATGGTTCGTCCGACTGATCTGCGTGCACGCTTGTCAAGTCTAGTTTGACAGCTCAAACTCTACGAGAGACTCGGGTTTAAGTCAAACGACACGATCGATGTTGATAGACAGTGGCAATACACGTTCGCGGCCAAGGCTAAGGATTGAAGAACATGGCGGTCCCGAAATCGCATTTTGGTTCTCGTGGTACTTTCCCATCCCTCTCTGCCCCTCTATTAATATCTCTTTGGCAACCGCATCCTTTCACTGCCGGCAGATCAGATGGTCGCTCACATAAGCTCAAAAAAGCCCGCAAGCGTGGGATGCACCCACTTGTACGACTGCACTCCAGCCTTGTCTTACACTCCTCCGATCACCACCAGAGCCAGAATAGAGGCTTATTTTCGGTCGACCAGCACACCGGCTGAACAAGCGAATGCATGTAGTATGTAGTGCATACTGCCTGCTCGGTGTTTCGCCACACTTGCTGGCTGACATACATTGTGGATGATCATCAGAATGCGGCCTGCTCGGGTTAATGGTTAATCCAGCCGATTGCCTCCTTATGTATTTGGTCGTCAGTCGATCCTTACCTGAGCTGGGGTATTAAGGCACTCCTCAACGTGCCAGTACGGTGCCGGCTTCTCGGATCCGGGTATCGTGGGAAGATGTGCCCAACGGGCGCTTATCATCATGGACCCCATGCGCGGTTCCAGCATCATCACAATCACGTTGTTGGTTTCAACCTCCGGGATATGAAGCATCCATCGTCGTGTGTCTTCTGCAGAAAGAAGGACAAGTTTGCTGACTTTTCTTGCTGGTATCCTGCCGCATCTGCTGTTGCATCGCACCAGCATGGCACGAACAAGCTGATCTCACCTTGCTCACCCACCTACTCCGTAGTCCGTACTGCAGTAATTATGTGCAATCCAACATGGCCAACCAACCTCCCATTCACCGGCCAATCCTATTGGCATTCAATACTGCAACAGCAGTGACCCCCGAAGCCCCCCCTGCTCTCATCGAGGCGGGTATTGTGCGCAACGTCGCATCTTGCCGCCCCCATTGGCTCATCCGCACGGGGGCCGACCAATTGAACGGCCCCTCTCGAACTCGGCGCTTAGCATCCCTCATCACCTCCGCTCCTCATTGGACCTCCCCGTTGTGACGGCGCACCGTCGGTCAACCACGGCACATGCAGCTCAGCGGCCCTTTCAACCCCCATTGCCCTGAGCTTACCCGGCCACCCGCCCGCCTGGTCCCCCTCTTTGGATAGGTGAATGGCGATGAATGAATGGAGCAAATGGGCGGCGGCGAATGGTTTGACCTGCAGAAGGGAGGGAGATATGGCCCTTAAACTGTCACCCTGCCCCCATCCGACCCATTGAGAGGCTCATTCTTTACTCTTGGTCCCCTTTTCTCACTCTTCACTCTTATTGAAGATTCTACCTCTTGTCGAAACGACGAAGACGACAGCAAAGCTCGAATCCCGCAAGTCGGATCGCGAGCTTCTTCTCATTGCGTTCGAGTGCTGGGTACTTGGCCAATGTGAAACCCCATTGTTTGCTTTGGCGAACAACCGCGCCTAGGAATACAAGGAACTCACTTTAAACCCCCAAAAGTCTTGGCAAAGAGAGGCACAGAGAGGGGAGAGAGTTACAACCCAACGACTTCATTAAGAGGACAAAACCCCCCCTCAGGCGACACGGGCATTGACACACCTCTCATCAAACACGCATACACGATAAGAAACGGAGGAGAGCAGAAGGAGAGGAAGGAAAGATGACGTACAAGATCTTGCACAGGAAATGGCTGCTGCGGAAATGGATGTGGACGCTCATGCCGCTGGAGCTGGCCGGCCTCGTCCCGCTCCTCGTTCTCTTCGGCATCGCGCAGCCGGACCTCTACCGGACCAAGCTCTGGGAGGTCGGGCACGCCTACGGCTTCAACTCGAACCCAAAGATGATTCTCTACGCCTACGCGAACTATGAGCCGTACCCCAAGGTCCCCTTTGTATGGACACGAACGTGAGTCCTCGCCATTACTCTGTTGCCTCTTCTATCAAAAGACCACTACAACTAAAACTTTTGGAATCACAGACTCACAGACTTCAACGTCGCCATCTCGGTAATCACCCTCTTCCTCCTCCTCACCAAACTCGTCGCCTTCATCATGAAGTTCTGGTTCCCCCTCCTCGCCGCCGGCATCAACGTCGCCATGGTCGCCCTCTACACCGTCTCCGTCTACGGCCAAATGGGACCCGACCACGCCGACCCGCGCTACCCGTCCTCGATCGCCTGGTACATCGCAAAGTCGTGCGACTACGCCCGCCCCTTTAGCGCCTACAAGAGCTGCCAGCTCGCAAAGGGCACCTTTGCCGTCACGGTCTACATGCTCGCGCTCTACCTCGCCAACTTGGGCATCGCGCTGTACGTGCTGTGGCCGAACGCGGGCGATAAAGTCGACGGCGACGAGGACGATGATGGCAGGGGAAGCAGCGACGGCAGCTCGCCGGTGGATTATGCGAAGGAGGGGAGGGAGTGGGAGATGAGGGATTGGCATGCCAAAGGCGGGCCGGCGAGTCCGCGGGTCGGGGTCGTGCCGTACACGCCCAGGACGCAGGCTTTCCATACGCTTGATAGGAAGTTGCCGTTGAGGCAGCAGTATGGTTAAAGCCGGATGGTGCGTTGGTGGAGGGGGGAAGGAGAAGATTATGTGGAAAGACGGAGAGCTTTTAAATGTTTGGATGATGGATGATGGTGGCTGTGAAGAACATCGCTTCTTCTACATTCTCTACAGTCTTAGGAGGCGCCGGCGTGGCTTTAACTCTATTATTTCATTGTCTATTTAATTTCCATTTTAATGTTGATATACCACCCATCGGATGAAGTCATACATTCGAGAGTAAGAAGGAAAACCCAACTCTTGACTTCGAGATTACAAGACTATGGGCTAATCAGGTCAATTCCATCAAAAGCAGAAAGAGTCTGTGTCAACTTCTCATGCATTCTGTTCAATCGACGAGAAGTGTTTGTTTCCTCCTCACTTCACGTACTCTCCCAAGCAAACCAACCGCTTTTCGGAAGTGTGTGTATATTCACGGGATAGCAAAAGAACGACCTGACGCATTTCTCACGTTCACCTGAAAACGGACCGCAAGGTCTTCAACTGATGACCTCCTAGCTTGCCTTCAAACGACACTTTCGCGGCCTCACGCCTCGATTCAGATTTGTTCCACGTCAAGCGGCTGGGATCATTCTGAGATGAGATGGCCTACATAGAGCCATCCAGCTGCCAGTCCACATCAACGGCAATACACAGCAGTACGAACCAGTCGCTATCCAAATGCAAGAAGAAAAACGCTTTTATTTTCAGCGCCTTCTTGAAGACGGAAACCTCCTCCCTCAATCATCGATACCGGCCCATTCGGCGCCAGCCTCGTCATCACCCACCCTCCTTGCATTCTTAATCCGAATCTTATTCGCGGCCGTAGCCCCCTCCCTATTCGCATCCTTGCGCCTCTCCCACTTACTCTTTGACGAAATCATGGCCGCCCCGTGGCTCCGCCTCGCCTCGACGCCCTTTTCCCGAATCTTCTTCTTGTCCTCCTTGCTCACGTTCGGCAGCGCGTCGAGCAGCCACTTTTGCACGTTCGCCTCCTCGCCCTTCTTGCCCGCCTGCCTCTCGCTCGCGGCGATGACGTTGGCGACCGTCTTGACAAAGGGAATATCGTCCGTCGTGTAAAACGTAACGGCGACGCCGCCCTCGCGGCCCGCGCGGCCGGTTCGTCCCGCGCGGTGGACGTACGCGGCGCTCGAGCCGGGCACGTCGTAGTTTACGACGCCGTTGACGCCAGCAAAGTCCACGCCGCGCGCGAGCACGTCCGTCGTGATGAGGATCCAGATCTCGCCGGCGCGGAAGCGACGCATGATGTTCGCGCGAGCCTTGTCGGCGAGGCCGCTGTGCAGGGCGGCGATTCTGGTGGGACCGCCGGCGGCGAGGGGGATGTCGTATTTGAGCTCCTCTTCCAGGGCCGTGGCGCGCTCAATGGTCTGGGTGAAGACCAGGAACGGAGGCCGGAGAGGTGGCCCCGAGTCGTCTCCTGCTGTGGGGTGAAGGAGCTGGCGGAGACCCAATAGCTTTCCCTTCTCAGTTGCGGTGTAGATCAACTTGTGTGTAACGTTGGGGACGGCCGTGTCCTTCAGACCGACTACCAAACGAACCAACGGTTTGGATGCTGGTCTCGCCAACTGTGCCTCAGTCACCAGAGTCTCAATGTTTGACCCGAAAGTCGCAGACCAGAACGTAGTTCTCAGCTCCGGGTTATGACAAGCAGACCAGATCGCCATGGTCTGTTCGCGGAATAGGGGGTCCAACAACACATCCGCCTCGTCAAGAATCAATGATGTTACAGTCGGAACTTTGCGATCCTTCTTTGACGACGCCGTAAGGAAGTTGTAGAATAGTGCGGGTGTTGTGACGAGGATGTCAGCCTTTACGACAGACTTGGACTTGACCTGCTCGGTCTCGCTGTCCTCGTCCTCATCCTCATCATCTTCTGACTTCCCGCTCTCTTCCTCTTCCTCGTCCTTGTCCTCGTCCTCGTCCTCGCTCTCGGCCTTATCTTCTTCCGCAACTGCAAAGCGCATGCCCTTCTTCATGCCGGCGATCTTGATGCCAGAGTTCAAGGCCAGCTTGCGTCCCTCGTTCACAATCTGGAAAACTAGCTCCCTTGTCGGCGCAATGATGATCGCAGACAGATCATGCTTATCCTTGTCCTCGCTGGACTCTCTCTTATGCATGATGGAGTTGATCGCGGGGATCAGGAAGCTGATCGTCTTTCCACTGCCTGTCGGCGCAACGGCGAGGAAATCCACACCCTTTGAGACATCTCCAAGCTCCTCATTATTCGGCACTTCTTTCAGTGCCAGTTCTGGCTTCAGCAGCAGAGGCAAGGCGCCCAGCTGCACCTCGGTCGGCACCTTGAATCCCTGATGCGTGAGGTTGTCCGCCAGCAGCGGCGCAATGTTGTAGTTCGTCCGAAGCTCGCGGAAAGAGGTCAAGGGCTGCGGGTGCAGCTGATTCGTCTCCTTCTCAACCTCGACAGCGACCTTCTTCTTCTTGCTCTTGGTGACCTTGGAGGCCTTCTTGTGGCGCTCGGAGAGGAGCGTAAGCTTCAGTCGGTGGGAGCGAAGGATCTGTCGGCACTCGTCCTCGGGGAGCAGAGTCGCCTTTACAGAAGACGCCTTGTCGGCCTTTTTGGCTTTCGCAGCGGGCTGTTTGGCATTTTCGGATTCTTTGGGGGTTTCGGACTTGGGGGGCGCGAAGAAATCGACCTCGGGCAGTTGTTCCTCTTCCTTTTCTTCGACCTCTTCTTTGCCTCGCTTCCTCTTATTGCCCCGCGCTGAAGACACCTCGTCGTGGAAAAGTTGGGGGTTCGTTCGGTTGCCGGCGGATGGCAGGTTGGCCGCTCCTTTGTTCGCGTTCTTGGCACCCTTAGCAGGCTGTTTTATGCCGCGCGACAACACTTTGAGGATATCCATGGTTGATTTTGCAGTTTCCAAATGGAAGAGATCCCAAACTTTGTCTGCCGGCTTTCTTACAGTTGCGCCTGGCATGGAAATTTTAAAGTGGGGATGCGGACCGTTCCCGCACAGTTTTTACACTGTGCGAAAGCATCGACTTTCGGGTTGGTCAACTTCACCTCATGGACGCCTACTTTAACAGCGACTGTGGTCAGCCGTTCGTGAAGTTACATTGGAACCACTTTAGCAGTGATTCTATAGAGCGCTGTGTGCTATTGTTCTAAGATGTCTTGGTTGCTCTTGCTGCTTCTCTCGACCTTTTCTTACTTCTTTGAAATATCTCAACATAATAAAGTGAGTTAACCTTCATTTGGTATTTGTCACCACGTGATCGAGCCGCGACCCTTAGATGCAATATCAAATGAGATATGAGATTGAGTGAATGACAATGTTCTTGAATCTAACAGCCTCTTCTATGTGCCTTGAATCCTCTTGTCTTTTATGGTAGTCTTTAGTAGGCTCTAGATCATACAGCTTGACATGAGACCATGAAGGCTGCTCTAGCTTTGCTGCTGTTTCGCTGGAACATGGATCGATCGGAAGCTATGACCATTCAAGTTCCATCGCGGCTTCAAGGCTCACAAATAGAGAAGAGTGTTGCTGGATATTACTTGTTACGAAAGCCACAGAGATACAATCCCAATCAGCTTCTGGTTCGAGCAGTAAAGCCAAGTTCAGGGGGGTAAGAGGATAAATTGAGTACCAACAAGCACTTTTATAAGCCACCAGCTCTTCATTGAAATCGATTGTCACTCAAGTTCTGAGGTTCTTCAACGAGTTGAGCTCCTTGACTAAGTAAATGCCTGTTAAGAGAATCCTGCCTGTCTTGGCCAGTGAACTCATTTGAAGACGACTACGAGCGCTCTCGATTGTCCAAGGGACTCCCTCGAAGCCAGGGGCTCCAAACCCAATTGACGAGAGCGCAGAATTCAAGTTATCCTCTTCCAATCATTTATACTGCGTCGAGTGCTTCAGAAACATGCATGCCGCCCTCCGAGGATTTATCTAACTTCAAATGAAGCGAAGACTAAGGATTGGACATAAGGAAGCGCTTGATATGATAGACCATCTGACTTCCCGCTTTTCCAGTAATTTCGTATGTACGCACTTGCTTCTTGATCATTCGAGAGCCCCAGGACACAAGTACCGTCAAAGTCCATTCATTGCCTCTTTTAGCTTTATTCCTCAGAGCTACAGCTCTAAGATTGCCTTACGTATATATTTGAGCCAAGAGTCCCTTATAACAGCCTCATAGCATCTGAATTCGCAATGTTCTTCTCATAAAAGTGAAGGTTTCTATTGTATCTGGTCAAGCTTTTCTTCATGGGCTCATGTTGAACCGTAACTTACAGGAATTTCGTCTCATCTTGAACATCATTCTTTCCCCAGATTAATACAAAGGATTCAGTATTTAAGTTGTCTCAAACGGTCACAGATGTCCCTATAGCAGTAATCATCTTTGCGGCGTCGTTTCTTCTGCAGTATTCATTAGATCGGTCTATCCAACATTGTGCATGAGTCCTTCTGCGGTGCTTATTTCCTGTTGCTCTTTGTATTCATGTTCCCAAGTGAAGGTAGCCTACGGCCAGCCTCTTCGCCACCTTCGACGTATTCGTACAAGCTTAGAGACAGGCTACGACCAGTGCTGAACGAGGCGAAAGTCTCTAGTCGCCCGTCATTACCTGGTATTGTCTTATATCTTCAAGATCGAGAATTCCGGCTGTCCTTGACCAGGACTACACCAGCACCGTCTCATGCAGCACTAATGACTTGCCTGAGCTGTGGGAGGTCAGACCTATGGGCAGGCTATGAGCATCAGCAGACACGTGACACGTTTTCCATGCTGAGGCAAATAATCAGAGGATCAACTTGAGGTGCTCTCCTCCAGCTTAGGAGAGGGCCAAGATTTTACTTACAGACGGATAGGTACGTCCAAAGGAAGTTGAAACTGGAGTGAAGCAATAAGCGCCTTCTTCACCGAACACACGCAGGAAATACATCGGTGGTTCTAGAGGAAATCCCAACATCCCTTGCGAAGTTCTTAGGTGTTTAGATACAATTCTAAAATTGTTCGCTCCTGTCGTTGGC